AAAAAATATAAAATATTGTGTCATTTTTGTCATATAAATGGAGTATTGGCTTCAAGAATCGGTCTGAAAATATCAGCAGCACATCTCAGGGATTAATGTCAAATAATCGGCTTTAAAAAAAATAAAAAGAAAACCATGTATCGGTTGATCTCTGTCTAATTTATTCAAGATGTATCTTATTTTCATTTTTTATAGAATATTCAATACAGAATCTAAAAAAATGTCAATTTCCTGACAATCACAGTATTCCATCATTTATACTTTAAAGGGTTAAATAATGAAAAAAGTCAATAAATGAACTGGACATGATAAATTACTGGCTTTATGCGGCATATCTATAGTTCACATTTGTATTAACAGCAGGTAAGGATGTAATAAAACCCAGATCCTTCTAATAGATCATCTCTTGCCTGTCTTTAGAACTGACAGTTATTTTTCTCTTAATTTTTATAGTTAGTGTCAACTTCTTTTATTTGGTGAAATCCTGCTTTAGAAATCCTCTGTTTAATATCCATCTCTTGCTTTTACTGTGTCACTTTGTTAGTTTTGGAGTAGAAAGGGGGAATAACTAAGCAGGTGGACATTCTCTCCTCTGACAATCCTATTTAAGAATGCAAGAAGAGCTTCCTGGAGTCAGATCCAGGTTTGCAGAGTTCAGTTTGCTGACAGGTGCCTGGGCTCTGCTGGGCGCGCTAATCCTCAGGTTACTTCATCTGTGTTTGTCCGTCACTCATGTGCTGCTAGACAAACCAAAGGCGAATTAAACTGAAACTCAACGACATGCAGATGCGATCTGTGCCGAATTTGTATGCAAAGCACCGCTGTGATTCCTATCATGCGGGGCTGAATGACATATCCATCATTTTCATGTAAGGCAGAGGATATGAAAAGCACACCGGGCGCATTCATTTCCATCCTTTGGTGCGCTGCCTGTGCTTTGGTTTGTAGTTGTGCGTATTGATGATATGTAAATGTTTTCATAAGACGCTGGACAGCAGGCGCGCTCCATTCCCCGAACGGGATCCGCTCCTGGTTTTGCTCCTCCTGCCTCCTATGCATGGTGTGTGTGTCAGTGTGTATACCTTCCCCTGACTCTCAGCACTCCGGCATTGCTGTGCAAGCAGATGTTCTGTCCTCCGCTGCCAATTCTTTCCATTTTTTCGCATTTGGAGAAGGTACCTTTGCAGGCAAAGGCTGCAAAGTGACGAGAAGAGGCAGAAACTGCAGCCCTCCTCCTTTTTCCTCCTCCTCCTCCTCGATTCGGCGACACAAGGAGAGTTTTAAACGGCTTTGGAGCGATACAGTAGAGGCTACAGTAGAGGCGAGCACAGGCTTCCTCCACCACACCTGTGATGCGTTGTTCTGAGCAACGGAGACGCACGAGCTGGATGTGGATGGCCACGGCGCGGCACGAGGATACATACTGAGGGAGGAAATACACTTAATAAGGAAAGAAAAGCACAGAAAAAGTGCATTAAAGGACACTGTTCGGACCTGAAAAAGATTTATCATCCTGTTTCATCGCTTTTAAAGAGCGTAAAGATGCCCTTACGTCGGGGCCCCTTTGTCCGCTGCTGGTTCAGCGCTGCGCTCCTTCTGCTGGGGCTCGCTGCTTTCTCCTCCACCAGTGGTAAGTTGCACTTTATCATTAAGGTGATTAGTTTCATTATTTTATTTTATTAAAAGCGCGCTGGCTGGAAATACAGAAATGATAACATCGCAAGTTATCTGCTGTTAGATTGTCTTTCTTTCTTCTTTTATTTTTGGATTCTTTTGTTGATCAAGCTGGAGCGCATGATGGAGCGCATGATGGAGCACGTTCCTGGCAGCGGTTATTGTTCAGTAATTTGCTAGCTGTACATCACTCCTCAATTAGCCCACACCTACAAGGTTACAGCTCCTCCAAGGTTAAAATCTCTCTTAATCTAGTGTTTTTTATTCTTTCATCTTTCGGAAATACCAGAAATATAACCAAAGCATTGGAGTTTATTGCGTATTATTCGCCTTTGGTGCAACTTTGAGCAGCACCTGCATGTTAACCTGCCGCATAAAAGATGATTGAGGAGGTAATGAAGTAAAGAAAAAAAGAAAGAAATGGTCTTTGTTCACGTGTTCACATGCACCTTCCATTCGACCTTCCTTATGATGATAAAAGTTGCGCTCTTTTTGTTCCCAGCATGAGTTCATCCTCTTGAATCTGAATCCTCTGCTGGCTGCAGCCGACTAGGATCATTGAACTCCTCCTCGTCCCGCCGCCAGCACTCATTCCTGCTGTATTCGCAGGATGCTGACAGCTTTACTGAGTTGGTTGACGACCTACTCGCGTTGATGAGTTATATTTTATGATGTAGCCCTGGCCAGACGCTCCAGATTGCATGCAAATGAGCCCTGATGTACAAAAACAATCTCAGTGAGCTGAGCCCAGAGCATAAGGGACAAGTTTCTCCCAGCAGCTGTATAAAAAGCATGAGGACCAACATGATCCCTGTTTTAATGATAGCTGCAGCAGGCAGCCTCTCATTGGTCCCATGGCCAGGGCCAGCCCGAAGAACAAGCGAACTATGAAACAGTTTTTAAGGCCAGTAGAGGCTCCTCAACATTGTTTTTTAAAGAATGTTCTACACGAAAAAGCAAACTTATTATTATTTACTATTTTATTTATTTTGAGTATTTTTAATAGTTTTATCTTTGTGTGTTAGCCTCTTTGTTGCTCTGTCATAAAAAAAAATAAAAATAAATGTCCAGGTGTAAGAAGGCACCAGCGCCCCTTGTAGGATGAAAAGAAATAGAAAAACTAATGGATAATTAATGTAAACTATGGATATTCAAGTAAAAATTGATCAAAAGAGATTATATATCTACCAGTTAAACATAGAAACGTTTAAAAGTTGTATCATTATGTCAAAAGTCTAAATGTAATGTCACAATTAGTTTATCAATGATTCTCTGCTTGTTTGTGTGATGGGATTCTATTTTCCTGCACAATCTGGACTCTTTTAAAAGAAAACTAAATAAGTAAGTTTTTCTAAAGTTTATTATAACAATACAAGCTAAACTTAAGTCTCAAAAGAGATACATTTTAATGAAGATATTGAGTGTTTCCAGGCTAATATAAAAAATATGATTTTTTTTTTACTTTTTAAGGTTTAAGGCATCAGATGGCTTATTTACTTAGAAAATATATAAAAAAAGACTGTAATAAATTAGCAGTCT